AAAAGAAAGAAGACAGATACAAGGGAAGCCAAGGAGTTAGCCCCTGGCTTTGAGTCCACACACCACTGTCTGTCTTGGCCATGACAGCTTGAGTTGATGCAGCTTGAGCCTGGAGTAGCAAAAAAGACACTGAGGCAAGAGAGGGAAGCAGGACAAAAAGAAGCTTTCAAGGTTTCTTGCTTCTTCACTCAGTTCACAACTGTTCAATGTGCTAAGGGGTCAAGAGCAGTAGCTCATACCTGTAATCCCAGCACGTTGGGAAATTGAGGTAAGAGAATTGCTTGAGGCCAGGATTTTGAGACCAGCCTAGGCAACATAGCAAGACCCTATCTCTACAAAAAATAAGAAAAACCACCCAGGCATGGTGTCACATGCCTATAGCTCTAAGTACTTGGGAAGCTGAGGCAGGAAGATTGCTTGAGCCCAAGAGTTCAAAGCTGCAGGGAACTATGAGTGGGCCACTGTACTCCAACCTGGATGACAGATCAAGACTCTGTTTCTAAAACAAAGCAAAACAAAATTTTAAAAGTGCTGAGAGTCACTGCATGCCAGCCTCTAACACCCACTGTTGCATTTAATCCTCCTGCACAATAATCCTAGGAGGTTATAAGGGAGTAACCAAATTTTACGAATCAGGAAACAGGGTTGGAAGGAAGGCAGGACACTAACCAGGAAGCTGGAGCCAGGGATGGCAAAGCCCTGTTTGTAGAGGTAGGCACTACAGAAGAGCAGGAACACATAGGCCTGGTGCTCCTTCCGGTACTCCCGCAGGACCTCAGAGAGTTCCCGCAGCTCTGCCAGGTCTGAGGGGAACCACAGTGACCTGGTGATTTGGAAAAGCAAATGGAAACCTGAGTTCAGATCAGCCCAGTGCCTGAGAAGTCATTTACTGTGTCTTCTTTCCAAAGAAAGAAACATGCCCACCATCTGGTCTACTGGGAACACACATAATGTGAACCCAAGATGATAGGTGATCTGATACAACACAAGTAGAGGCAGACAGAAGAGACTTGGTTTGGAAACGAGACCAAAGTTATCAAGAGACCCAGGACAGCACCCCAATTCTGCTACTTTCCAGTTGTGTGACCTTGGGCTAATCGCTGGGCCTCAGTTTTCTTATCTCAAAAATGAGGGGTTTTATAATCATTAAGCTCCCCTTAGTTCTCAGAATTTGTGACCTATTCTATAGAGGTGAATGGAGTCATTTCCAAGCAAGTACTAAATGTCCTAAGTCACCTTGAAAGGACACCCCCACCTCCACAAGCCAAAAACAATTTGACTTCACAATAAGCTTGAGGCACTAGATAAAACAACTATTTTATCATTCTCTGATATGCCAATTAAAGATTCTCCAGAAGAGTATATCTAAGCTATTCTATAAACATAACTTTCTTGATATGTCAGCTTGAAACCAACCCTGCTCTTAATCTGGTCCTCAGTGCACTCTGAATCCTGTCCAAAGGTTATAGTGTAAAGGCAACCTTGCCTCCGTCATCTGAACATCACTAATCAATTATGTGCATATCCTCTTAGTTCATAGGAGAATATTTATCTTAGTACGTGCATGTCTCACACGAACAGCAGAGTCTTCTCAGCTAGAGCAAAAGAAAATAGTAACTGAAAACAGTTATCCTAATATTCAAGTATCAGTAAATCCCTTGACAATGCAATGCTGTGTTAGGCACACTTCCATGCACTTTATAAACAGTATGCAACACTCACAAAACCCGACGAGGCAGGTATTGCTCTGCCTCCTGCCTGACCCAGACGTTCATGATAAGAGGGGCTGACTCAAAAATTCATGAATAATTTTAAGTTATCCGTGCAACATTTCCCCTGAAAACCTTTTGTCTTAAAGTTCCGAGGGCAGACCTGATGAAAGTGTTGATGGGGTAGAGAGGAGGAGAGGGAGGTTGAAAGGGGATGTGAAAGGGATGGGAGTCCACACAGGGCTGAAGGTCGACAGAAAATGGGCCCAGGACTGAGACTGGGAAGGCGATGCCACCGCTCGAGCAGAGGCGCGGGAAGTCTCAGCAGGGGTGAGGCGTTGCCTTTCCCTTCGTAGGTCACCACCGGGACCAAAGGCACTGCGGGGCGCCGGAACAGCACTGCCCGCGCAGCCAGCAACACGCAGGTCCTGGTCAGGGCCAGGCGCCCATCCACCTGGCCTGTCCCAGACTATACGGACGCCGGCCCGGATACCAATCCAGAGCTCCAGTCCTGAAACTGAAACTTAAATCCGAACCCTGACACCTTCGATCCGGGAAGCCTAATCTCCAATTCCTAGCCCCCGTCCAAGGACCTGCTTCCCTTCTTCTGACCCGAACCCCGATCCCTGCCACGCACCTGTCTCCCGTCTCCTCAGTGGAGCCCAGTCTCCGCCCGCGGGGCAGCTGCGTCGACAACAAGTACAGAGCGAAGGTACAGCCGGCGAAAACCAGAAGGAGGCCGAGCAGCGGGCGCATTTCGGCACCGCAACCCGGCCCACCGGGATACTGCCGAGCTCACTGGCAGCGCTGAGAACTCGTCGCGCGGACTAAGCAAGCGGAGCACGTTCGCGGACGGACCGGGGCGGGGTCTGAGCCAAGCCCCACCCCAGCCCAGGCCCCGCCTCCCACCTGAACTCCGCCCACCATGCTCCGCAGTGATGCCTCCCGGGAGAGCCAGACTTCCAATGTGTCACTGCGCGTCTGTCACCTCTCTGCCTGTCAGTGCATGTTTTTCTTCGGACAAGCCTGTCTCTTTCTCTTCTTACTCTGCAGACACTGGGAGTCCACAGTGCTGGCTCTGTGCCAGGGCTGGAAGATCCCGGGGCGACCCAAAAGCCCTGCCTACAGGGAACCAGCAGTTAAGATAGGCTTGTCCACGGCCAAGCGGGGTAGCCTATGCCTATAATCTTAGCACTCTGGGAGGCCCAGGAGAGTGGATTGCGTGAGCTCACGGTTGGAGACCAGCCTGAGCAAAAGCAAGACCTCGTTTCTAAAAAAAATAGCCAGGTGTTGTTTGTGGTGGGTGCCTGTAGTCCCAGCTACTCAGGAGGCTGAGACAAAGAATTCGCATGAGCCCAAAGTTTGAAGTTGCTGTGAGCTATAACTCCCCAACACTCTACTCAGGGCAACAAAGTGAGACCCTGTCTCAAAAAAAAAAAAAAAAGAGAGAGAGAGAGAAAGAAAAGAAATCTTCAAAGAAAGTGTGGGGAAAACACTTGAAGATATCATCCTGGGGAAAGATTTTATGAAGAAGACTTCTGTGGCAATTGCAACAACAAAAAAAACAAATTGGACTTAATTAAACTGAATAGCTCCTATACAGCTAAGGAGACAACAGCCAAAGCAAACAACCTTCAGAATGGGAAAACAAATTTGCATATTATCAATTGGACAAAAGCTTGATAACTAGGATCTACAGAGAACTCAAATTAATCAACAAAAAAAGACCCAACAATCCCACGTATCAGTGGGCAAGAGACATGAACAGAACCTTCACTAAAGAAGACAGATGAATGGCTAACAAACATGAAAAAATGCTCATCGTCCCTAATCATCAGAGAAATGCAAATCAAAACCACCCTGAGATATCACCTAACCCCAGTGAGAACAGCCCACATCACACAGTCCCAAAACTGCAGATGTTGGCATGGATGTGGAGAGAGGGAAACACTTTTACACTGCTGGTGAGACTGCGAACTAATACAACCTTTTTGGACGGAAGCATGGAGAATCCTCAAAGAACTCAAACTAACCCTCCCATTTGATCATACAATCCCATTACTGGGCATCTCCCTAGAGGAAAAAAGAATTCTTTTTTCATAAGGACATTTGCACTACTGTTTATTGCAGCTCAATTTACAATCGCCAAAATGTGGAAACAACCTAAATGCTCACTAACCCAGGAATGGATCAACAAGTTGTGGTGGTATGTGTATACCATGGAATACTATTCAGCTATTAAAAAAGATGGAGCTTGGCTTGGCGCCTATAGCTCAACCGGCTAAGGCGCCAGCCACGTACACCTAAGGTGGCGGGTTCGAATCCCCAGCCC